TAATTACAAAGTTTTTAAATTACATCTTTAAACCTCTTACTCAAAACTTCCAAACTAAATAAGGTGACCACCTATTCCATTGAACCACCGGTGGGTCATCCAGACAGACGGCGGTTCCACATGTTTGTGTTTCCATTAAAGATTTCAAGATTCTGTCTAACAGAGTTACAGCTTTTAATGTCAGAGAATGAAAACTATATCTATTTGAATGATGTGTGCACATATCCCTTTCATCTCTCTTATCACTCACATATGAATTGGCAATATGACACGGTTTGTAAATGAGGTACCAGGACTTGAGCTTCTGTGAAATTCGGCCCTCTAGTGCCGGTGCTTCTGCATCGCTTCCGATGAGCAGCTTATTTAGCTTTGCAGAACCAGATGGGTGGCGGCTTGATCCAAGTGATGAAATTAAGCACTGAAAAGCCCAACAGTGCAGCACAGACACTGGGCATGAACTGAGCACTCATACAAAAATATTTTATCACACCTTTGATGGGTGTGAATGGGCTGAGGGATTGGCAGTGGATGGGCGTTTCTCCCCATGCTATTTGACCCACAACACGGCATCTGCTCGTTTTCACTACTGACTTCATCCCCTTGTCTGGACCTGAGCTTCTTCAAGAGAATTCGGTGCTGAGATACAAACTCCAAACGACTGTTCAGGAGCTGGAGTTGAATGGCTTTGGTGAGGAAGGCCTTTTCAGCTGGTCTCTGGGGGAACGACGGTCGGTGAATGATTGAGAGGTCATGTGATGGCCAAGAGCCTCGCCAAAGTTCTACAATAAGGAAGGAGAGAAAGTTCTGCCGTCCCTGGGTGGGCTCGAACCACCGACCTTTCAGTTAACAGCCAAATGCACTAGACATATTGCACCACAGAGACTGCGTTGCACCCCTTCTTTTGGCCTGCATTTAACAGAGTAACATATTGGGAGGGCCCTCAGCATGAACAGGGTAAAAAGGGTTAAGTGCATGTAATATAAATGAATTGTTTTGCTAAAGATGACCCTGTCCAAACTTATGTGTGCATCTGGTGGAAAAGTACTGGGGCAACTAGAAGAGATTGTGCAGAGAACAAGATGTTTTGCAAAACTGTCCCACGGTTGTCTTGAGGAGAAGAACAGCAATTCAAAATTCAAGATTTCTTTATTGTCATTTTTCTTGCACTTACATTCAATCAAGAATGAAGTACCGTTCCTCCAAGGGCAACAGTGTACATAAATTAAAATAGAGAATTAAAAGAGCTTTTATAAAAAGATATGTATAAAATATAAAAAATACTATAAGCAATAAACATATAAGCAACATGTAGATATACACAATACACGCAATACATACACACAATACAACCCAATACACATGGTGCATCAAGGAAAAAAAGAAAATTAGCAGTATATCTGGGGAGGGAATACCAGCATAGACTTTAAATTACCTTTGAAAAAGTATGTTTTGCAGTGTGAAAATGGCACTAGTGGAGAGAAGTGTCTGGTACTATGGGGAGTTAATGGTTTAGTGGTGGAGGGGGGTGCAAGAATGTTTATGATCCTCACAGCCTGGCGTATGACGCTGTTTAGAAACCTGCTGGTCCTGGTACGGATACTTCTGTACCTCTTCCCAGATGGCAGGAGGGAAAACAGGCTGTGGGAGGGGTGGTCGGGTCCTTGGTGATGCTGGAGGCTCTGTGGGTGCAGCGCTGGTTGAAGATCTCCAGCAGGGAGGGGAGAGGGACACCAACGACCTTCCCAGCTGTTCTCACTATCCTGCTCAGCTGTTTCTGTTTGGAGGTTTTGCACTTTCTGAACCAGGCAGTGATACAATAGGTCAGAACACTTTCAATGGTGCTCCTGGAGAAGGTGGTGAGGGCCGGAATGGAGAGACTGGCCTATTGGGCCTTCTTGACGATGGCCATGGTGTTGGTGGTCGAGGTCAGGTCCTTCGCCATGTACGCTCCCAGGAAATTGATGCTACCGACCCTCTACACGATCGCGCCATCTACGGTCAGCAGGGTTGGAGGTCCGTGCGGGCCTTCCTGAAGTCGATGACCATCTCCTTGGTTTTGTCGACATTCAGGGAGAGGTTGTGTCGGTAGCACCACGCTGTCGGCTGCTCCACCTCCATCCTGTATGCTGACTCATCACCTTTGCTGATGAGACCCACAACTGTCGTGTCATCAGCAAACTTGATGATGTGGTTGTTGCTGGATCTGGCAGTACAGTCGTGGGTCAGCAGGGTGAACAGCAGGGGGCTCAGGACGCAGCCCTGGGGTGAGCCTGTGCTCACTGAGGTGGTACCTGATGTGTGGCTGCAGACTCTGACTGTCTGCTGCCTTTGTGTCGGGAAGTCCAGGATCCAGTTACAGGTGGCAGTATCCACATCCAGCTTCTCCACCAGTTGCTGTGGTATGATGGTATTGATAAATACATAAATCTGTCAAAGAGCAATCTACATGTTCAAACTCCAATGCCCTGTCAGTCTCTCCCAAAATGAAGAGAGAGCCTCCATCTCTGATCAGCACTATGGGCAGTTATGTAATTCTCTGTGGGGCTGTGGGACTCAGTAAGGACTGCCTCAGATACCAAAATGTGTTCTCTGCTCAGTTATTACGGGGTAGTTACATGCAGATATACAGTGGTGCTCTGTCTATGTCTAATGGTCAGTATATGTAATGGCAGCTTGTGTTAAGTGGGTCGAAGGGAATTCCTTTGGACTGTCCTGGACAGAGGGTTCACTGCTACTCTTTCCACAGATATGGTATGTATAACTACAATACATTCAAAAGATTTAACCAATAGAATTTCATGTAAGAGCACTGATAGCAAGAACAACTTTGAAATGTTTGCCATCTGATTTTGTTTCAACTGTCATTCCTTCTCAACGCTGGGATATAATGACAATAAAATTCAGACTCAGTAATTTTGTGTATTAAATGTTGATTAGATGTATGAGAGTTTATTGAACTGGAGCAGAACCCCTCAGTGTCTCGGGTCAGTGCCTCCCCCCTCAGCACCTGCAGTAGGTCCCAGCTGCAGCAGTGCAGTCTCTGTGCAGTCTGACTGAGGGAGGTTTTTGTACGGCTCTCTATCACTGTGTGAACACATCACTACTGCTGATGTAGTGTTCACTCTGACAGTAGTAATCTCCTGCATCTTCAGCCTGGACTCCACTGATGGTCAGAGTGAAGTCAGTCCCAGATCCACTGCCACTGAATCGATCAGGAATCCCTGAGTTACGTGATGTTGCCCAGTAGATCAGGAGTTTGGGAGCTTCTCCAGGTTTCTGCTGATACCAGGCCATATAGTGATAACCACCACTGGTGTACACAGCAGGGCTGGTTCTACAGCTCAGGGTGACAGTGTCTCCTATGAGAGCAGATTTACCAGCAGGAGTCTGAGTCACAGTCACCTGTCCTGTGGATTCTGAAGGGAAAAATAAAATAAATTTTAAAAATAAAATAAATACTTATATTATCCATAGTCACATTAGAATGTCACATTATTGCCCAGGCAGTTATTTAATATTTTTTAATACATTTACTTTTTATACTTCCATTCCATGAAAATTGAAGACAGTATAACAATTTGAATATGTTTTATGAATCTTACCCTGAATGTAGAAAGTGAGAGCCCAGATGAAGATGGTGATAAAAGTCATTGTTGCTGTGGGTTCCGTTGCCATGAAGGACAGCTCTCAGTCATCAAGTGTTAAACTCACAGGACTATAAACACTCCCAGAGCACTGAAGCATGTGCTGCCAATGCAAAGTGTCTTCTCTATGCAAATGGTCTTCCTGGGTACAGCAGGCACTTGTAGCCCAGCAGTGCTGTGGAGGCAGACTAGGGCTTATGGGCTGTGACACAGACAGAGCAGTTTAACACTGCATTTTGCCATCATATTCTTTTTCTCACATGTACCCTGTTAAACAGCACATACACCCCTCCTCTGACTCATCTCTATAGATGCAGCATTGGCCTTTGAGCAGGTGAAATTGCATGAAGAAACCTCGGGTTTTGCCTAATGTTAATGCTATTGGTTAAGTTAGTTATAAGTTAGTTATCCTCTATCACGACTACACTGACAAGTAATGCATATTGTGATTGATTCCCATTGTATTAAATTACCAGTCAGGTCTGGCTTCTGCAGCCATTGCTGTTTCTGCAATACAGTGAATGAAGCTTTTGCTGCTTTCCTACATAAACATGCTAAATTAACTGGATGTGATCTGAACATTATCCTGATTGGTAATAACTCAGTTTCATTTAAACTGGGTAATTTTGAGAGGGGAATAATCGAGCTCTGATCTGATGTGTTCCTGCTCAGGAGTGCCTCTCAGTGTAGGGTGAGAGCAACACACAGTAATATAAAGAGTACTATAATGCATTTCCATAACTGCAATGGAAGTAATACAGTCATTTAACACTTTACTTGTAAAAGCAATAATGAGTACTGTGGAATATATTGCAGTTTTTATGTGTATGTGTATTTATAACATTAATTGAACCATCGTAAAGACCACTGTTTTGGAATGTGCTTCAACATCATAGAGTAAATTAGACTGTTGTTGGTGCTCTCATAAAACTCTTGCTTGTTCAGCACTGTAAACTCTGTAAAACTTACTGTTTTTATTCTTTTACTTTTACAACACAGAATTGGTCAGAATTCACATTCTGTTTCCCAGCAACAGTAGTAAGTTCAAGTTATTTAGAATTTTCAGTTTTACAGCCTCTATGATGTCACAATAGGAATGTTCTTAAAATGCAAACAGCTATCAATTAATATGTCATTTGGACTTGTCATCGATTGCAACTATATCTTACCAAAATGTACCAGTCACATAGTATAGCAGAAGACAATATTGTGTTCCACTATTTTCTTGGAAAGTTACATCCCTCAGACTTGTAAGTAGATACCTAAAGCTTTTCCACAAATGCAGTGTCTCTTCTGTGCCTGGATCTACAGAAATTACAGGAGTTTTAATATGCCTCGTTAGCAAGCTAGCTATGTAGGGAAACCAAGTAAGCGAGTCATATCATATATGAGAATTAACAATTTTGGTGCAAACTTGTTTTGCCTTAACATCTGAATTCCTTGCATTTCACAAGAAATTGTGATAACAGTGGAATTATGAAAAAAAAAACAGGTTGCTCGAAAAAGCCATTTGTAAATAAAATTTATTGTTATGAAATAAAGATCAAATAATTAATTACTTCATCATTATGAAGTAAAATGTAAACATGATAGTGGTATTGTGAAAATCTGTGTGCTGAAATAATATTTTATCATAACAGGTTGAGTATTTGTTGAATTATTTCACAATTTATCCACTATTTTATCATCTATGTGATTACAGTATTTATTTCATAAATATTTTTGGTTATTTAAATATTAATAAAATGGCATTCCATAACTATGATGTCACAATTGGAAGGAAGTTCAAATGTAGAACATTGACCACTGATGCAGAATTGAACATAAAGGACAGACAGAAATTATTATGAATGACCACGTACTTCCTAGCTGCTGGGACTGTTTTTCTTCCTAAATTTGTGAATCAACACTGAACATTCATTTAGATTTGAGGGACTGTGGGACAGAATGTACTGAATTATATCATCAACCTTGACATCTCTGGCCTGTAATTCTGGTCAGTAAAATCAGTGCATATTAAAAGCAGCTGAGTGAGATTAGGACTGTGCTCCAAAAAATAAGTATATTCTCAGAGAAGTCCTCAAAGGTTGGAAGTTTGCAAATTAAATAATGGAATTTATTCTTTTAATATAGCCAGTTCTGCACTATATACACTTTGCTTGTAGCTCAGCTAAAACACTGCATTATCCTGGGTATTGTTGTGACAGACCTAAGGGGTACCTTGAAATGGTACCTTTAC